TAGGGAAGGGTGGAGTGGGTGAAGGGAGGGCTAGGAATGGGGAAAAAATAAGAACCAAGATGCATCATGTAAAGGTACAAGTTCCCAATGAGAAATGTAATTGTGTTGTATACATAAAATGTACCAATAAAAGAATTTATAAAAATCTAAATATTAAACAGAAACACTAAACCAGCTGGAAGAGAGGTTAGGTAGAACTCTTGAAGACATTGGCATTGGAAAAGATTCCATGAACAAAAATCTCAGTTGCATGTGTGCTAGCACAAAGAATCAACAACTAGGATCTCAACTCATTTACAAGCTTCTGCACAGCAAGAGAAACCACCAACAGAGTGAAGAGAAAACCCACAATATGGGAAAAATTTTTTACCTGCTGTTCCTCAGACAATGATCTACCATCTAGAATATATAAAGAACTTAAAAAATCAGATCTCCCAAATTTAAAGACCTAATCCAAAGACATTTCTCAGACAAAGAAGTAGAAACAGCAAGAAAACACATGAAAAAATGTTCAACATCACTGGTCATTCGAGAGATGCAAATCAAAACAATGCTAAGATTCCATCTCACTCCAGAAAGAATGCCTGTTTCAAGAATTCAATCAATAACAAATGCTGAAGGGGTTAACTGAGAAAAAGGAACCCTTCTCCACTATTGGTGGGAGTGCAGACTGGTGCAACCACTGCGGAAATCAGTATGGAGATACCTCAAAAAACTAGGATTAGAGGTTCCATTTGACCCAGCTATTCCCCTATCAGGTATCTTCCCAAAAGAATTAAAAGCATCATATCACAGTGATATATGCACAACCATGTTATAGCAGCACAGTTTAAATAGCTGAATCTTGGAAACAGCTCAAATGCCCATCAACTGGTGATTGGATAAAGAAGATGTGGTTTATTTATAAAATGAAGTTATTGCTCAGCCATAAAGAATGAGAAACTAGATACATTTATAGATAAATGGATGCATATTGAGGCTATACTCTTAAATGAAATAAATAGGACATACATGTGTAAACACCAAATAATTTCTCTAGTGTGAGAAAAAGAAAGTGTAAATGAGGACCACAATGCATAATAGATAATGTGAAATAGGAAGAAAAGGCCCAAAGGGGAAGGGGAATGGAAAGTGGAGGATGTAGTGTGGGATTGTATGATTCAAAACTTATGTATTCCCTCAGACTTTGTTATGTCTAATGGCTAAAATGTATTTGCTAGTCTTGAAATAGTAGATAAGACCTGTAACCTCCTAAGCAAAGCATTCTACCCCTTGTTTGTCCGGAGAACAGAAAATTCCCGGAACTACTATCAGTAGAACAGACCGTAACTAAATCTGCTGATTATGGTCATAGTGTCCTCACTGCGGTTATGCTGACCATCAACATGTGACGATGAGCCAAACTCTTGTTCCTTTTTTCCCGTAAACCTACATGTAACCTACCCCTTTCAACCCCCTATAAAAACAGCCTCGGACTCTGAGCCAGCTGCCTCTCTCAGCTACTTAGCTTTGGGAGTGCCGTCTGGCCAGACTAATAAAGGTCTGTTTTTTTTTACCTTCCACTTGTCCGGTGTGTTCCTTCCCGGGTGATCGCCGCTGTAGCCAGCTCCTCGGAGTATTTGGTAAGGCCCTCGGTCTTACAGTAGGGTAAAAGAAAGAAGGGAAAGAAAAAAAATATGAGAAAAGAAAAAAATGCAAACAAAGTCTTTGTAAATAGGAAGAGGTAGAGGGGTGAACGGAGGGCAGGGGAATGGGGAAAAAAATAGGAACCAAGATATATCATGTACAGGTACAAATTCCCAATGATGAATGTCATTATATTGTATACCTGAAATGTACCAACAAACTTAATGAATTAAAAACAAAAGGAAAATGAGGAGGAGAGACTAGTAGGATACAGAATCCTATTAAAGAATGAAAGAAAATTAACAGAATTAGTTAAGAGTAACCAAAACAACAGTGGCAGCAGCAGCAGCAATAACAACAACAAAAAGCAAGCAAGAAAAGGAAAAATAAAACTAAGAGCAAAAGAAAGGAGAAAAAAGAAAAAATTTTTCCCCCAAATAAAAGCAAACAAACAAAAACAGACACAAGTAAAAAAAAAATTGCTCTGTGTGTTTGAGTGAGTGTGTTTTTCCAGAGCCTACTGCATTGGAATTTACCAGATATGGGGAGAAGTAGAGTCACAACTAGACCTATTTTTTGGGGGGGGGATGGCTTTCCAGTAGCTTAGTTCTTGTTTTATTTTGTGTCCATTTTTGTTTTCGGATTGTGAAACAGAAATAAAAAGATTGGAAACAGTTGTGGTGGAATGCTGAGATCAGACTGAATTAGGAAGCATGTGCAGGGTGTCCACAAGGCCAGCCCCATACTATTTCTGTTTTTAATTTATCATTTCAAAAAGAACATTTTCACTAAACTTTAATCACAAGGCAATTGAAGGAACTTTGTTATTTTTTTGAGTACTGGAGATCGAACTCGGGATCTTGCGTTTGTGAGGCAGGTGACAGCGTCACTGAGCTAAATCCCCAGCCCTGAAGAAACCTTGAGTGACAAGCCTGTCCCCAAATCTCTCCCTAACACTGATGCTATAATAATTTGGTTGTCGGGTTAAATGTCTTGGAAGAGCGAGTGGCTTAATATATTATATAAAGATACATAGTTGCCTCTGTTACTGAGTCATGGGAGTTCTTTATAAATTCTAGATACAAACCCCTTATCTCATATATGGTTTCCATATTCTCTCCCATTCTGTAGGTCACATTTTCATTTGCTTGACTGTTTCCTCTGCTGCACAGTTTTTAAGATTGGTGTGACCCCATTTGTCTATTTTTGCCTTTGTTTCTTGATGCTTTTGGTGTCATATCCAGGAAAACACCAGTCATTCCAAGGTCATCAGGAGTTCCCCATTTTTTTCTTCTGACAGTTTAATAGCTTCAGGTTTTATGCTCAGGTCTTTAATCCATTTTTAATTTTTGTCCTGTTCTCTCCTGGTATTCTTAGTTCTGAGATTCCCTGGTAAGAATATGAAACTCTGAAGATACCGAAGTCTCCTATAAAGTAACGGAGTGCTGGCATATAAGCTGCCAGACACTTTGGTCATCTCTGCATTACTTATAATACCTAATTCAATATATATCCACTGTGAGTACTTGTACTTGTTACACTGTATCCTTTAGGGAATAATGCCAAGAAAAATACCTGTACATTTTCAGTACATGTGCATTTTTCCAATATTTTTTATCTGCCTTTGTTAAACCAGTGAGTGCGGAACCCACACATGTGGAGGTCCAACTGCATCTAGAGTAAAATAAGGGTTGGTCTTCCGGTTTCCCATATGATGTTAGGTGTCAGTTTCCCCAGCCCTGTCTCCTGAAGAGACTGTCCTTTCCCCATTGTGTGGTCTCGGTGTCTTTGATCATGTGGGTGAAGATTGCTTTACTTGTCTCTTCTGCTGCTTTGACTGTAGTGGTTTTTTTTTGGTACCGGGGATCGAACTCAGGACCTTGCACTTGCAAGGCAGGTGCCGGAACCACTGAGCTCAATTCCCAGCCCAGCTCTTCTGCTGCTTTGGCCTGTCTGTGTGCCAGCATCACACTGTTTTGATTGCTGTAGCTTTATAATCAGGAAGTGGGAGGCATCCAACTCGGTTTGTCTTTTAAAACAGCAACTGTTTTAGCCATTCTGGATCCACTGAGATTCCATACAAATTTTTGGATTTTTAAAAATTTCTGAAAATTCGGCATTGGCATTTGGGTGGGATGACATTGGGTCTGTGGATCATTTTGGGGCAGCACGAACATTTCACAGGGTGTCTTTCCATTTGTTTCTGTCTCCTCTCATTTCTTGCAGCGATGTTTCATAGTTTCGGCATTCAAGTCTTTTGCCTTCTTGGTTAAGTTTATTCCTAAGTATTTCAGTCTCTAGTATGCTGCTGTCGGTGGAATTCTGTTTTTTAGCTTCCTTCGTGTTTGTTTTTACTGCATAGAAACACACCTGGATTTTGAATGTTGATTTTGTATCCTACAACTTGGCTGAATTCATTTGTCAGTTCTGAATTCTGGTGGAACCTTTAGAGTTTTCTGTGTGACAGATTATGTCTTCTATGAAAGCACGAATGAAGGTAACCAACTTCTTCCTCTCCGATTTGGGAGAACTGATTTCCCTTTCTTGCCGAGTTGTTGGCTAGGACTCCTGGGCCTATGTTGAGTGGAAATAGCGAGAGTGGGCCTGCATGCCCCTTCCTGAGCTCTGACTTCTCAGCTGGGTATGAGCATAGATGTGAGCTTGTCCCACATGACCTCCATGTGGAAAGGTGATTTCCTTCTGTTTGGAGTTTGTTCAGGGTTATTGTCCTAAACGTCCAATTGATTCAATTTTTTACAATAAATGTCACCCATGTCTTAGAAACATAGGTGGAGTAGAAATGGGGTTCTGTCTGTTCTTTAAAGGCACTGAAAGCAAGTGAGTGATGGTAACTTCACAGACGAAAAGGCTGTGGGGATTCCTCAGAACCTTGTCATGTGACCCATGGATCATCCTGGGGGTCTTCACTATGCGGTTCTGAATTCCGTCAGTAACAAGCATCCCGGAGTTTGGAAACATTTACCAACCTAAACCCGATTTCTCATCACCTTTTAGTCAGAACTCCTCGGGTGGCCTTGCGAATGGAGCAGATCAAATGCCGGACAGTGAGTATCCCCCGAGCCCTACTGGCCAGAAACTTCCTCGTGGGCCCACGCACAGCACACAGAGGCGAGAGGAGAAGGAACAGAGCAGGCTGGGACAGCCGCCTCCCTTTGGTGACGTCTTCCGCACAGTGTCTGTGCTCATCAGTGTTGGGTTCCTTCTGGGGAGGTTGTTTCTTTCTGAGACCGGGTCTCGCTATGTAGCTCAGGCTGGCCTTGAACTCACTGTGTAGCCCAGGCTGGCCTTGCTCTCATGGCAATCCTCCTGCCTCAGCCTCCCGAGTGCTGGGATGACAGGCGTCACCACTGCACTCAGTTGTCATTGTCATTTTTAGAACAAATAAGAACAGAAACAGTGATCACTACTTTTGTTTTTGTGATATTTCAGATGTTGTTTTAAATGAATAGGCCCATTGAACCTTACAGCAACACTATAGGGTAGGTAATAAACTGTCAGCATGTCACAGAGGAGGAAGCTGAGGCACAGAAGTATTCCATTCTGTGCCCTGGATCCCAGTCAGCAACGGTCTTCTCTACCATGCCCTCTCCAAAGCAGCTGCAAGCTCATTAAACTTCTGGCATGTGGTGAGTGGTGCTGTCTTCCCTGTACACCATCCGCCTGATAACTCCAGCCTCGGTCGTTCTGCTGTGCCACAGTGAGGGCCATGCTGAGGCACTGAGGGAAGCTTACAGGTTCACGGCCGGCGTACTGTTTGGGTCGGAGACAGAGCCCCCAACCTCCTCATGGGCACCCATTCCGTAGGAGGAAGCAGCTCCAGGCCCGGGGAGTTTCAGGTTTGATGCCTGAGAAATAACAAGGTGTCAGGACCTCAGAAAGGTCACACACTGCTCGGGAGAAAGGCATCTTCCTAGACCAGAGTGCAGAGGCTCCTTCCATGGGAGGGAGGAGCAGCTCCTACCTCTAGCAACCCCTCAGTTGTCTGGCAACACTGATTCAGCTGCTACCTGGACTTGTGATCTCTTGAGGTAACTGGTCCATCCCTGACTCTGCTTCAAACCCTAGGTCCCTGGAGGCCTCTCAGTGTGTTCAAAGTAAGTTGCAAACTCACACACTAACAGGCTCAGGCAGGGCTTAAGTGTGTGAGTTACATTTCTCTTGTAGCCGTGGATGAGGAGGTGAGCTGACATCAGGGCTGTGAGTGAGGCATGATTCCATATCCAGCAGCTCATGGAGCACCTTGGTGAACATGGTTACATTTCACATTCACGATCACATTAAGAACTACCATTTATGTCACTATGTGGATCAGGAAATTGAGGCGACTTAGTGAATTTCTAGCAAGATTGGTACAGTAAGCAATTAATCTAATTCCAAAGCAAACGTCCTTTCCAGGACATGGTGCTCTACAACTTGTAGCCTGGCTTTCTCGGTTGTGGAGGTACATTTCTGCCAACCCTTCCTCAGGCTCTTCCCAGCCTCGCAGGCCTCCACCGCATTCTCAGGTGTGTCTTGTCCCATCTCTGCTGTTCAGCGTTTCCATCGAATGTCTCCTGCTTCATCGAGAATGCCCCCCAGTTCCCTGGGAGCTGTACCCCCTTCCCTCGCACAGCTTCTCCACTTCCTTACTGGTCTTCCCAAGTATCCGCCCTCCCTCAGTCTCGCTTGCGTGGATCTGAGAGAAAGCTGGGGGCAGACAGCCCCGGGACGTGGTTCTAGTCACGGATTCGTGACCCACTGGGGCTCTTCCACTGCCCAGAAGTATTCAGACACCCCAGGAAACTGCAAGGGTTGTGAAGTATTAACTGGAGTTGCCCATGTCAAATCACGTTGCACACCTTGAAGAATAAACACACACATGTTGTTCACATACGCATCTCTCATTAAAGGGAATGCCCAGGCCACTGCTGAGTGCTGACCCCAGTCTGAAGGAATCGCCAGGAGCAGCAAGTTTGCAGGACACAGGTGGCCCAGAAGAGACGGAGCCTCCCGTGTCCTCCCCCAGAGCAGGAAGGAACTCCGGACAGCGCTCGAGAGGAAAACCCGGTAAGGAGTGCTTTTGGACTTTAGTCCGCCTCGGCCCTCTACAGAGTTCATGAGGATGGCCAGCTCCGTGGGGTGCACTTTGGCCCAGACGCAGGCTGGACTGAGCCACGGGACTGGTGAAGAATTCTGACTTTCAAGGCACGGGCTTGGGTGTTTACCAACACAGGGGCCCTGTGCACTTGGGCACCTGTCAGAAACCCTGGCCTTGCGATGCTCATCAGTGAATAAGGGGGAGGGTTCACAGCTCCTCTTGTCACCTGAAAGCCTTGAGCAAAATATGCAGAACTGACAGGTGCGTGCGGGGTGCCCCATCCATGCTCCCCTCGTTAGTGTTGTTCGGCCAGGCGGCTCCTCAGGCCTGGCCGCTCCCTGCCCTGTGGGCTGCACAGGGCCTGCACGGCGAGAAGTGGGACCACAGGCTGAGCAGGGAGCAGAGCGTGAGGAGGGACACACGATGGTGGGTGGGAGGTTTCGCATGTTCCAAAGAAATGGGGACAAATGCCGCCCTCGGCCAGCTTTCCTGCTCTGCTGTTCTTGGCCTCTAATTAGAGCCCAGGAGGAAGGGCATTACACCCAAGATGTACAGCCTGCGGGAGAGAAAGTGTCGCACATACGAAGAGGTCAGCGAGCCCCAGGATGATGACTACCTGTGTAAGTGGCCCTGACTCTGGTCCCTTGGGGTCCAGAACTGAGGGGAAATGACAGGGTGTGGGGCTCGTGCCGAAGCTCTTTACAGCGAGACCCTTCCCAACCCTCTACCTTCACCTCAGACTGTGAGAAGTATAAGAACTACTTCATCGACAGCTGTCCCGTGCAGGGGCCCCTGCGTTTGTAAAAGACAGTGTGGTGGCCGAGAGGCCCTCGGACCGCGCCGTGCTCAGTCTGCCCCCCTGGCTGAGCATAGAGCCGTTCAGCATCCCTGGGGCTGGGCTCAGAGTCTGGAATGAAGCCTCCCATCTGCCGCTGGATCTGCACTTCGGCCCCTACGAGGGGCAGCTGACAGAGGACGAGGAAGCGGGCTGCAGCGGGTACGCCTGGATGGTGAGTGCCCTCCTTCCCCTCTCCTGCAGCACAGATGCGGGCGGGATGGCTAGCTCTGGGGCCTCTGCCTGGCTGGACAGGAAAGTCCACTTCCCTGTGCAGATGGCAGCCAGGGTGCAGGGCGTGGTACCGACTGGTGTGGAAACTGTGCCGAGGGCACGGCTGAGCGTCGCCACGGAAGACTGCAAACTTTCCTGCTTCTCCCGACACTCAGGTCACCAAGGGGAGACACTGCTACGAGTACGTGGACAGCAAGGACACATCCCGGGCCAACTGGATGTGGTGAGGACCGCGCATGTCCGCTTCTACCGGGGCCCCTGTCCCTCAGAGCCCAGCTCCTTTCCTGCTCGCCCTTGCTCTCTCGCTGCTTTTCGTCAGCTTCTTCTCTTTTTCCTCTGCTCTCTTGCGGGAAACGGCGGCCTGTGCTCCCAGGTTGTCGGGGTGTAATCAAACTCCTCTCCAGCCTGCAGCTCTGAGCTGCATCCGCCCCAGGACAGGGTGCCCTCTCCTCAAAGGAGCAGCTGTCCAGAAATGGGCTGCCCAGTCCACCTCTTCTGCCGCTTGGGGAGGACCCGGGGTCACATTCAATTTTAGTGTTAACTGTCGACCAGTCTTGAGTTACGACGTGCGTGCCGGCCGCTCGCGCTTCCAGATGGGCTCAGGTGCAGACTGAACCCTAAAGCGCCGTGGAAGGAACACGTCAGTGTCCTCTCCCGTGTGGGGCTCACTGAGCAATCCCGGGCCGGGGTCTCTCAGGACCCTGGGCTCTGCCTGTGGGCAGCAGAGAGACTCTGAAGGCTGTGCAGGGGCTGAGCCTCCACTGACCGACCTGAGTTACAACCAGCGCTGGGGAGCAGATTGTGTTCCTAAGTCAGGGGTCCCCGGTACTTCAAAATAAGATTCATTTCGCAGGCCTTAGACGCTGAGGAACAGTTTTTATCCTTTAAAACACTTGTTCTGCTTCCATCTTGAAGTATCTCGTGCACAAATGTCCCACAAAGCACTGCGCCGCGCCGCGGAAAGGCTGTGAGGCCCAAGGGCAGGTTCTCAGCAGCCTCCGGCCTCTCAGTGCTTCCGCTCCCTCTCTCTCGGGGCCCTCGCCTCCTGCCCGGGCTCTGGTGGTGGGAGCGGCGGAGGAGGGACGGGATTCTCTGTGCTAAGAGGACGCTGCGCTTTGTGCTGGAGAACAGGCCGCAGTGAGACGCCTTTGCAGGGCTGCTCCAGCCTCGTGGTGACGGGATGACGGCTTAGGGGAAGGCGAAGTCAGCAGGTAAGTCACCTGATACAGGGTAGACGTTGAAACAGGACTTCCCCCGATGGGAAATGGGCCAGGGCGGCATGAAATGGGCCAGGTGTGGACTCACCTCGTACAGCTTCTCGGAGGCCCTGGCGGCGGCAGGCGCAGCGGGGCCGCGCTTGGTTTCAGTTGGTCCTGAGGGGCTTGAGCTTCCTGCTCGGGCCGGGCGTGGGCGCGGTGCACCTGGGTGCTTCTCGCGCTCCGCGGCGACTCGGCCGGCGCGGCGGGGTTGTGCACAGGAGCAGCTGCGCCACGTGCCCCGGGCGCCCGCGTTCACTGCCCGGCGGGCTGGGGCGGGATCGATGGCTCTCTCTCCGGCCAAGTGCAGAAAGCTTCCCACTTGCGACGGAGAAACCTGCCCCGGCGACTGAGCGTGCCCAGTGCCCTTATTTTGTTTTGATACACTTTTTTTTCTGTCTGTGAAATCTGAGTCCTGCCCCTCCTTTCCTGCTTGGCAATGCCAATCAATGATGCTTTAGACTTGTAGTCATTCCAGCAGCTCTTAGTGTTTGTGCTCCTCTGTGTATCCTGAATCACTGCTATCTTTGCCTAGCTTTATGTCCTATGGGCTCGTGAGGTCCCCTCTTCCTCCAGGGACCCATCTTTCCACATGTCCCAGGATAGGGCCACCTTACAAGTTGAAGCATATCCTTAATCACATTGGCAGAGGTGGGGGAAAAAAATAGATCACCTAGCTCTGTGCTGGATGTAGGCAGCAAAGTAGGGGGTGTCAAGCAGTCTGCTGGCCTTACTGCCAACCACTTCAGACCCAACCTCCTCAGATAAACACACTTGACTGGCTGCCTTCTTAACACAGAAGAGGAGAACATTGTGTCCTTTCTGGCGTGAGCTTTCTGTTGCTTAAAGTTCTCAGCAGGTCTACGACCAGCCTACCACTTCTCTGCAACTGTTTTGTGCCCTTCTCCCAACCTGTCACTGAGGTAGAGGAAATCCAGAAACATTTTTGTGACTTCTGATTGCTAGAGTAGCTCAGACTTAAACAATTAACCCTTCCCAAATCCTGGTTAATCACTCTCAAATATGGTGAGAACTTCAAAGGATTTCTTCTCAAACTCTAGCCGGCCATGAAGAAGGCATCACTTTCAGAGTAAGTCTGTTCTTTCCCTTCAGTGGTACCAACATTCTGGGTCTACTTTGTGCTTGTGGAGACAGAGCCCTCCTCAGAAGCCAGGTTAGAATTTTACACTGCTTCTCTATTTTCTGTGCATTGTCTTCAGTTTCTCCTGTTTCTCTGTGATTTCTGTTTTTCCTGGCATCTCTTTCTTGATTCCTGGAGCTCTTTTTCCTGTTATCTTTGTTAAGTCGTTGTTTAACAGGTGTCTAGATTCCAGGGCCTGGAGAGGCTATTATATGTTGTTGGCCTCTCCTTTGCCATCTTCCATTTCCAAGAACTGTTTTCTTATTTATAATCTTCTCCGGCACTGATGTCCTTGAAAATCACCCATTTGAACCATGTCCTTTGACAGATACTAGATGAAAAATTATAGTTTGTACCTGAATTCTAAACCTAAACCCACAGAAGCCTAAATTAATCTAATAAAACAGATCCCATTGTTAATTTAAAGGACTTATCGAGCAGATATGAAGCAGATTTGGCTTATTAGCCAAATCAATTAATTTCATGATTTCTTCTTTTGTTTTTAGATATTCTTATTAACATTAATCTCATGAAAGTCTCTACTGATGTTAATACAATTATTTCCCTAAAATGGCATACCAACACCTCAAGAGGTCAATATTCTGTCTAAAGATACTCTACTTTCAATCAACATGTTCCAATCTCATGAATACTTTATGATAGATGTATTATCTTCCTGAGACTGATTAGCTTCTCTGTCAATATTTGAATCATGATCCAGATAGGAGCCTTCTTATATTTTGTATCTCCTTTAAAGCATGATATTAAAAACCTGACAATAGAAGAAAGTTGCCTAAAATTCTCTATGAGTAAGTAAGGTTTTAAACCTCAAATTGAGGTGCATAATTATTTTATCTTGAATAAAGTTTGTCTTCATCTTGAAGTTATAAAGTAAGCTCTTTTTAAAAAGAAGGAACAATAAGGGATTAAAATGGAAACCGCTTGACTTTAGAGACCAATCTGAACAAAGGCAATGGTTTACCTAAATAATAATATCTGTCTATGTGTTGCTGGAGGCAGTGGAATAGGTTGCTAAGAGACAGAAGCAAATACCTAGAGATGATCTGTGAGAAATAAGATTTATTTAGGCAATAAAGTGAAAGGATAGAGTCAATTGCACCTTACTAGAAAAGGAGGGCACACAGAAATGTGCATAGGCCTAACAGCACCACCTGGGAAAATCCCACCAGGGGTGTAAACTTGACAACAGTATCATACTGCAAATCCCATGGGATGTATGCACTTAACAATAGCAGTACTCAGCAAAGTCTCTGAGGGTGGTTTCATACTCTACAAGAGCTTTGCTCTGCAAGTTCATGATGGTGGTGAGCACTGAACAATGGCCTATTTCAAGGGATCTGGTGGTGAGGGCTGAACTGTGGGAGCACAGCACTCCACAGGCCTTCTTCTGTACCCAACTCTAACACCGAGTGAGTTTTACTGAGTAAAATGTCACAGTGACATCATCAGCTTGCTTTGTTCCATTGTCTGATCAATCTTTCAAGCAACAGCTCACTTAGCATACAGACAGGAAGGCAATTTCTACACATAGCACAAGTTGCCCAGTTCCTGGGTTCCCCAGGTAATACTTGTTCAGACATTCTAATCTCTTTTCACTTACAATGTTACCTTGATTTGGCAAGTCTTCTGAACAAAAAGAAGTGTTTCAGGGATGTGATACTAAGTGGTCTAATTTTCCTGATGGATGTTGTGGTATATTATACTGGATATAACCAATAGGTACTTTTTGGCCCCTAATTTAATAACTGTCATTGAAGTCTACTCAGTTACATCATTTTGCCTAAAACATTCTCAAATTCATCCCTATTTGAATAGAGTACTAGGTAGACTATAAAATGAAAACATTATCAAGTAGGTTAATGGTTAGTTGTGAAAAGAAATCAGATTCTTAATTTATATAGTAAGCCTTTTTTATAAGACTTATAAATATGAGATAAGTAAAATATAAGCTATATGTTTCTCTTTTTTATTTGACCCTTAACTCTGAAAAAGTTTGATTGTAGTCTATTTTGTTACAAATGTATCTTGGCTGCTATTTTGGGAGAAACAGAAACTTGTTTCTGTATTTTATGGTGGGAGTTTTTATGTTTTTGGTTACCTAAACTATTCTGCTGTCTTCCAGATAAAAGTCAAATCATGGTTGAGTCTAAGTGCTAATTTAAAAATTAGTTTTTACAGGGGATTAGTACTAAAGGGGACTGGTGGATACTCAGAGATAAGAGTGCACAAACCAAGGAGTTTGTGCATTTCTTTCAAATCATGAAATATTTGTAACCAAAGATAGGATTTACAGCAAGGACTAATTGAGGATATAGAAAGAAATATTAAATGCAAAACTGCCAGCATTATGTTTAAAAAATAATAACTATTGTTTTTAAAATTCCAAAACTTTAATCCAGCAAAAGCAAAGTCAACTAAGAACAAAGTTATGCATGAAAATCTGTGGCCCTAGAAAATGAAATCTTCATTTTGAAGGTTTTGGGTTGACTTCTGTCTATATCATGCTGTGATTTTTTTATCTGCCACTCTTGGTTTTGAAGGATTTTAAAGAAAAGTCTATTTTTAAGTCTTTCAATGGGTTGACAGTTCAGATGTTGAAGTGTGAAATTTCGTGTTTCTTCATCCAGGTATATGAATCCCAGGATGTATACCATGGACTTACCCTGCTTGGCTAGTGGTTAGTAGTATCTGACACAATAGTTTCCAATGCATTTCACAAAAGTTTTTCATCTTTTTTCTTTCTTGGAATATAAAGTTTCTGAGTTTTATCTAGAATTTCTTTAGGAGTTTATGAAGGAAAGGCAGCCTGTACATGTTCTTGATAAGAATGAGTATATAGCACAAGTATATTGCCATATTTCACCATGTCTCAGAGTCTGATTGAAGTAAGTTAGAGCCCTAAATCAGGGGAGAAATACCCAATCTTATGGAAACATGCAGTAACTTTATGCAGTGTCAGTTGATGGCTCTCAATATGTTAGTCTGATTTCTGTTACTCTGACAAAATATCTGACAAAATTAATTTATATGGAGGAAGGATTTATTTTGGCTTATGGTTTCAGAGGTTTCAGTTCATGGTTACTTGACCCTTCTGTGCTGTTGCATATGGGCCTGTGGCAAGACATCATATCATGCCAGAGAGCATGGTTGGTAGCAGCTACAGCACAAAGAAAGAGAAAGAGGAGTAGCTGAGATCTCAATATCCTCTTCAGGGACATGCCTCCTATGACCCAACTTCCTAGATCCTACTCCTAATGATCCCACCACCTCCAGATAGTGTCACATCCTAAGAAACAAGTCTTCAATAAATAAAACTTTAGGGGCCACCAGAAATCTAAACTGTGAGGATAAAGGGTGAGGATCCAATGGTTATGAGAGGATTCTTATCCAAAAACCCAGAGTGACGGATAATTTGTTTCATTTGAATTTAAACATAACATTTCTTCTCTTCACTTTCTTGAAAACTGAAGATGATTGGGACAATACATTTTTAATTGCATGGCATGAACTTTAAACTTCAGCAATAACAGTCCCAGAAAAATGAGTGTTTTTATCACTCAAGAGATAAGTTGGATTCCCCATGTAAGGAACATAAAATTAGATAATTTTTCCTACTGTCTGAGCCCAAGGCTCTGGGTAAGGAGCGTCTTCATTTTGTTCTCATCATAGTCATTGACCTGTCTGTACACGTTAAAACTCATAGAGCATTTTAAGTCTATTTGGACATTTTCAAAGATTCAGAAGTCTTGAGTCTTGATTGTGCTTCATTCATAGTACACTGTGAGTATTCTAGCGACATAAGATAGGTACCAGAGAGATACTCAGAAATATTACTAAATTCACCAACACCATCCCACAACCAAGCAGCAACTGAGAATCTGCTTTAATGTTGTGGGTAATTTTGTATTTTTTTTTCAAAGACACCACTTGAAGGTCTCTAGAACCATCAGAGAGCCATTTTGAAAGTACTAGAGAGTATCCTAATAAAATTTGAATACAGATTTCTTTCAATAGCCTT